ACCGGCGGCCTCCGACTCGGTTCTGAAATTCCCGAGTTGCGCTGGGTCGGATCAATGGATTGGGTACAGAACCTGCTTGTTCCTAAATGGGACCGCGGCAGTAATACATCCTTCCTTCCTTCCTTCCGTCCCCTAAGTTCCAAACGACATAACCGAAAAAATACAAAATTGAATCTAACTGTCATATGGTGTTGGATTCTCGCTTGTCTTCATTCTCCAAACTGATGATACTCGAATTATTTGGTGTTGTCACACGCTGACATCAAAACTCGTACCTCATTTTGTACCAAGACGCCAAATCACTATCATTGGAGCACCTAAACTTTCCGCCCCCTGCTTAGTAGTACGTGTGTTCTATGTATTGATGCGTAACTTTTAGCCTGCATAATTTACGATGTCATACATAGTAAACTGGCTGTTCCAATTGTGGGACCGCGTCAGTATAATATACCTCCTCCTCCTCCTTGTATATATAGAAATGGCCCTCCGGGCACGCCTGGAACCAGCCGCCCCGGATTTTCAAGGGTGCGGGTAGAAGGCACGTGAGGTTGCAGCATGAAACACGGCCAAAAGCGGTCGCGTTCTGAAAAAGGAAAGGGATTGCCATATGGGGTAAAGAAATATCAAAAGGCTGCTTGGAGACCTGTAACCTAAAGGTACCAGGAATTGGTTTCGCCGTAGAGGGTGTCCTGCTGCGAATCAACTAGTCCACATCACCATGGTATCACGACAGATTATGCCGGAGTGTTCCTGCCATCTCCCCCATCACCGGTCACTTCTCATCGCTTTCAGTTGAAGTTTGATGTTTCATTCCTCCGCGGTCACGGGAAAATTACCGTGACGATAAGTACTGGCGCAGTGAATAGCGGCGCCTCTCAGAAGTCTTCGCATTTGCGAGTCCGGTGTCAGTTGAGGACCCACTTTCACTGAGCCCTCGGAAAAACCGACTGAAGCCAATCGACTACCGGAAAGCAACGGCTGCCGACCGGAGATTTTTTTTGGGTCTTACATACCAGCTCATCTCTCGCTTGATAAAATGGTCCTCGGGGCCACCTAAAGGCCTCTGACGGAAAAAGGGACGATCAGCGATGGTCCTTGTTGTTCAACGTATGGGCTACATTAGAAATTCTTTTGTCTATTGTGAGGACCATACAGGAAGGATCATACGATATTCGTTGCCTTTTACTCGTCCAATGAGCCTTGAGGGAATCTGCACACTTCAGGAGGCTGAGAAAGAACTTGATTGCGTGGATCCGATCAACTCGGTTACTAATGCTTCCGGCTGACTCGGCGCTAACTCGGCGTTCGCACTGCTGTCTGACCCTGCAGGGCGTCGCGTCGAAAATGTTTACCCAGTCCAAGACTTTCTGGGTTGCGTCTGGCTGCGTCTGGAAGACCGCGCTTACAGCTAAAGCAATATTCTAGGCCATTTCGATTCGCACAGAGGTAATCCCAGTTGTATTAAGGAATTTCCCCTTCAGATCGACTCGGAACCGGGGGACAGCATCGAGTACTCCGTGACAGGGGCAAGTACCAAGCTAGGAGTCTTTCGGCAAGGTCCGCGTGTAAACAGATCGATTTGTTTTTCAACCTTCTGAGTCCTGCTCGCTTAGCAACAGTTGTCGGCAGCTGTCGGTTCTTAAATCTTAAAGAAGGTACGGTATTTTTGGGTGTTGATACTCTTTCTCCTCTTCCCGCGTTCTCTCCCCCCAGAGACTACTTGAACAATGTCCTCTGAAAAGATCGAAATAACGGACGATTCTGGAGAGGGCGTCGATCAGAAAGTCTCCGTCTCTGCTGTTGACGATGTCGAGTCGCTTCGACGTAAGTTCCTTCCACTGCTATGTTCGCTGTTTTCACCCGATTTCCAGAAGAAGGGGTGCATATTAGTATAGGCCAGGAGAACTTGAAACTCGACAAAACCGGTCTTCCTCTCATACCTCAACCTTCGAACGATGCATCCGATCCTTTGAACTTCCCCCAGTGGCTAAAAGTAGCCGTCCCTTCATTTGAGCTGCCTAAATTATCACTCACCCATCTGTAACAAGATTTTGATACTGCTTCAAGTCAGTTTCCTCGCCGGCCTCGGACCGTTGAACCAAGCTACAATTAATCCCGGTGCGAGTTCTTTCCTTTTTAATTTTTTTTCCCGCTCATTGGCTCGTTGGCAGCCTTTGTGCCCCTCGCGGCTCACTTTCATGTATCTACTGTCGTGGCTAGGTAAGCATATCGCGCAAAATTCCGGCAGGATTCTAATTTCACTAGTTACCAAACCACCATCGCGATAGGTAAAAATGCAGTTCAGTGAATTTCGGCCCAGCGTCGCTAAAATTATCGGAATAGCTTTCGCCGGCATCGGTTCCTTCGTTTGGGTACCTCTTGCAAATACCTACGGTCGTCGCCCAGTCCTTCTTTTCTCTACTCTCATCGCGGCTGCGTCGTCGCTTGGTTCTGGTAAGGCGCTTACCTGGTCTCAGTTGATTGCAACTAGGGTACGCTTCGCAGAAATCGAAACGTACATACCATGACGCTCGTATCAGGTTCTCAACGGGCTTGGTACTTCGTCTTTCTTCACTCTTGGCGCCGGCATGGTATCTGACACATTCTTCCTCCACGAGAGGTAAAACCCGTGTTCACTAGTTTTTGTCCAATGACCTCATGAACTATTCGCAGAGGTCGTGCCATGGGAATCTTCACCGTGTTCCTCACAAACTCCGCCCACGTTGCACCAATTCCAGGTAAGAATAATTTTGAAGCTTTCCATAAATATTCTGAACTGTGTTATAGGTGGTTTCTTGGGCCAGTTCGTCAGTTACAGGTACCAAAATCACAACCACATTTCTCCCCGATGCATTTTGACTTCCCTACATAGGTGGTGCTATTATTTGCCTGCCATCCTCGACTTCACGATGTTTGTCATCATGTTCTTTTGTCTGCCCGAGACTCTGTATCTTCGGGGATCCAAGCCTGTCGTTACGGATAAGCCAATCCTCCGGAGGATGAAGCTTTGGGGCCTTCGGCCCGAAGGCAAATACCTCAAGGTCTCGGACTTTTTACGGCAATTTATCATGTTCGTTTCATAAATTGTTGCCAGCCAGATGTCTAACTGGCCTGCAGGTTCAAATATCCTACCGTTCTGTTGACCGCCCTTTACTATTCCGCGACATTCACTCTGAGCTCCATTCTACCGGCTGTCACGTCCGCGACTCTCTTCCGTTTGCTTTACAAGTTCAACGCATCCCAAACGGGTCTTGCGCTCGGTCTTGGCACTCTGATTGGATCCACACTCGGCGAATTGCTAGGTGGAATCGTCGTCGACCGAACGATGTATCTCAGTCGTCGGGGCAAAGCGGACAGCGAGATTATTCCCGAAGTCAGGTACGTTGTATTCGAGTTCTCTATTGATGTTTGAACTCACGACTTATCAGGCTACGGGGTATCTGGGCTGGAGCAATTTTGCAACCAATTGGATTGCTGATCTGGGGCTTCTGCATTCAGTACAAAAGTAAGTTGGGACGTTTTTCATTTACCCTTCACATTTTCTGATGCTCGTGCAGCCTCGTACATTGGACCCACCATTGGCTTCGGTATCATGTGCTTTGCCGTTCAGTGAGCGTTGCGATTCTGCCTTTGGGTGCCGTCTAATCGCGCAACAGGATTATTTCAACCGTGATATATTCGTACAATGCGGACTGTTATAAACCTCAGACGCCCGAGATTGCTCAAGTTCTGAACTTCGGCCGTCAAACCGTGGGAATGACCGGTGCGTCCGCTTTGTTATTCAACTTTGTGACGCCTTCTCAACACTCTCCTCCCCCTGTACAGTCGGCTTCTGGGCCATGTGAGTATCCTTTCTTCTCATCACCACTAATGTACTAACATTTCAACTAGCCCACTGGGTGATAAGATCGGTTTCCAGTTCATGGCAGTGACTATGGCCCTCGTCGGCATTGTCACCCTGCTGCCCATCATCTACTTCATATTCCACGGCAAGACCGTCCGGGACAGGATGGGGCCCCCAAAATACAATATTTCTCTCTAAATATTCTTGTCCCAGCTGGCACTGGATCCTGTAAACATCACGTAGTGGACTTCATCTTTTGTAATTACGGTATACCGTGGTTGGATTCGGAAATTTTAATCACATTCTTTTTGGCTATCCCTGCATTTTTCCCCGAGGCGAACTTTCATCGCTTTGATCTGCTTTTCAAATGAGGTCCTCAAAGTCCCTGCACGCAGATTCTAACTCGGGGAGGCATTCGCATGCCATTTGTTATCGGTATTTATTCTGGATCAACTCGTTCCAAATTCCAGGATCAACCTTTGACAGTCTTCGAGATTCAAGTCTGTGGCCCAAGTTCGCGTCAACATCAGGCCGCCATCATCGCGAACACAATGCGCAAACGTCGCCATCGATTCTTGACACTGCGCATCAAATCCCGCCAACTGTCACACAGACTGTTTCCTTGGCTGAGGAGTTGGGAAAAGATTCAAGGGGCTCTCATGTGTAATCGATTTCTATTGTACTACAGACACAGACAGTGGCATTAAACTGCTACAGTTCACCGCGTAAGATGATGTATGGCCGCCACCGTGACGTCGTGCATTAACAATATTACACTCACAAACGTTATATATTGGGGCTAATATTGGTATTCTACCTCTAGAATATTTGCATGAATTTATGGTCGCTGGAGAGCCTGTTGGCGATTTATGGAGGCGGGATTGATGCGCGGCAATGTGAATTTGATGCGGCATCAGCGAACGTGATCCGGAATGTCAAAAGTCGGACTTGAGTTCATTTCGAGTTCATCACTTCCTCACACTGCCCGCGACAGTCCGCTCCAACAGAAATCTCACCCGCGGAGTTGGAAGTTCCTCAAAACCACCGTGCTACTCCTGGGATGTAGTCAAACCCACATACGTGCCGCCTAAATCTGCAATGAACACCGAAAACAACAGTCATACTTCCGCGAAAAAAGAAGAAAAAAAGACAACAACGACGCGAGCAGGATTTGAACCTGCGCCCAACAAGTGGAACAGATTATTCTCATTCCAGCCAGGATATTCTAATCTGTCGCCTTAACCACTCGGCCATCGCGCCGCCGGAACGTAAAGAATCTGTCAGGTGTACAGCCCAGATTTATGAATTTTAATCGCGCTTGTTTGGGCGCTCTTTTCCGGAGATACGGTTTAATTTGAGATTTGAGATCAATCAACCAAAACTGCCTATTTCGGACGCTAGCGGTTGTTTGTTTCGATGTTTGTCTCGAAGACTTCGGGGGCACCGCCACTGCTCCACCTTTGCTCCACTTCATCAAGTTCGCGCCCAAGATAGATCCCAACGTAAGCGTCCAGATGAGATCCATCTGTTGACCCCGATTCGACAGCCGTCAGTGATCTATACATACTCGAGTATCTTCTCGAAGCAACATCGGGCCCGCCGCGCTACCGGCAGCTGAGTGGCAGTTAATGCCACGCTAAAATTATCCCAAGTCGGATATAGACGCGACGGAGATGCCAGACGACGTGGATTCATTAAATATTTGGCCAAGCCAGTTGAAGAAGCAAGCAGAAGACTGAAGCAACTTCAAGACTTTGTCATCTGCAGTGTACTTGTTGAAGAGACACTTCGACATGGAGAAAAGTTGAGGTTGGTTCGGAAAAGAGCGGGGCTGGCACCGTGGCATCCCTCGGGCCTCGTCATATTTAAATGGAGCGGGGACTTGAAGCGAAGCGGGAGGGGTGGTTTCAACAGATCGAGAACCAACGCCAACTCCAAGTTCCGTTTGATTTTGAGCTTGGGACGTTTAATTTTTGATAAGAAAGATACTTTCTCGGACTGATGAAGTTGGACGGCGACCACCGCTGCGGATTTAAATTTTGGACACATTTTCTTCCATCATAGAGGATACTTACTGCTATTTGCGGAACATAAGGCGCGGGCGCATTTTTGTCACATTTTGTCACTTTTGTGATCTCAGATTTCTTTTCCCTGTAGCGGCCTCAATTCTCATCGGATCATCTCAGAACATGGCGCACTCAATTCATACACCTTGAATACAGTGCATAGGCCATAGAAACCATTTTTGTTATCTATATTTAATCTTTTGTGCAAAATTACGCACTTTTCAGCTGTTGACCCTCTGACAACGCAGTGGGTGCTCAGATACCTATAAGATTTTGTCTAGGAGTTTTTGGCAGTACTAGAAGTTGCAAAAAAGACTTTGATTTGCCAAAATACAATGGGAAGTGCATGAATGAGCAAAATAAAGTCTGATCATATCAAAATTTGGGGCTAAATTGTAGACCCTCCCCCAATAGAGCGGGTACCAGGACAGGGCCAATTATTTTATTTGACAATCGTTTTGGTCTATATTATTGCACTGCACACTTGATTTTGCGAGAAATACACAGGGACCTTGGAGTGAGACTTGCAAAGTCAGATCAATTTGTGGATCACAACATCAATCCTGCATCAACCTCCTTTGATCTGGGTTTGGGGCCTTCGTTTCGAAGCTTTCAATTTAGTTCTTGCCTTCAGAAGTTGATAGTGCAGTAATAAGTACCAGGAAGATGTTCAAATGATATAAATCAGCATGGTTATACAAGACATCAGCTTGAATGAGGGGTGGCAAATTTGCATTGAATTGGGACTGTACCTTGCTCGTTGGTGAGTTTATCATTATATGTGGGCAGAGCAAATTATCCAGTGCAATAACTACTATCCACATCACTGCTGTGACAAAATTTTAGAAGCATCCGAGCTGTCATTCTGATGCTAAAGGGTAAACAGTCGAAAATGGCATCATTTTGACCTTGGGAGGAATCATGTGCCAGAAAATGATTATCCAGTAGCCTATGCACTGTATTCCATCATCCTGAATCGAATGGGCCATGTTTGAAGGCGATTGGACACAAATTGAGAGTGCCAGAGAGAAAAGAAATCTGAGATCAAAAAAACTGCCCCTTGTGATGCGAATTTCTGTGTCTTGTTCCGATGCACCAAATGCAGTTCTGGGAAAAGTAAGTGTACAGTGCAGTAATAAAGGTAGACAAGATTGTTTAGTCAAAATACTAGCTTTTGGATGTGCCCCGTCCTCTTTAATTAGGGTCAACAGTTTTGCTCTCAAATGTTGCTGTGACCCACCTTCATTATGTTCATTTCGGTGTTTATAGTGGTATTAGTGAAGTTCAAACCATCCAGTGCAGTATCATACACCAACTAGAGTATTCTGACGAGGTCTTGGATCTTCCCGAGCACCTGCCCAGCTCTGGGAGGGTAAACAGCTGAAAACTCGATGCTTTTGCCCAGCGGACGAGGAACGCACCATAAAAATGTTTTCAATGGCCTATACACTATATTCAGGCCTTAGAAGTCGAACGGACCCGGTTTTAAGACGATTAGACAAGAATTGAAGGTACTAGAGGGAAAAGAAAATCAACATAAAAAAAGTGCCCAAAACGGGAAAAAAGTGCTCGTGCCTTATGTTCCGCAAATAGCAGTAATCACGATCAATGCCAACTGGAAGAACTAGCGGTTAAAGAATGCATTCCAACGCCAAGCCAGGATTCAGCTAATCAGCGCCTAGAGTTTGAGGCAGTGAATCCGAGTCACTGGGGCGGTAGGAAAAGTTCAACCCGCCTGGGCCCCACCATCCAGTAAAATAAACTTATGAGGACATGCTTACCGCCAGCGATCTGCAGCAAATTTGAAGGATCATCGAGTGCTGAGGACACCTATACCGTTGTTAGTGTTCCGACGCAACACCACCGTCCTCGCTGCTCCAGCTTCCCATCCTCGCGGCCTCTGCAAGCTCCACTTTCCCAGGCACGTGACCTCAACAGCAACCTCGGCCGAAATCGGATCATTAAGAACATGATGATACTCGGCTTCCTGCTTTTTCACCATGGCAGTGTTTGGTCTCAGTTTTTGCGAGGTAAAAAAAAATGTCGGGGCAGTCTCGAGGCAGACGATACGTCTTCAACCACCCAACCCTGCGTGAACGCCGGATTCCATCTGATTCGAGTAACGGTGAGGCTGCCACGAAAGCTCGAGGATTCAGGGAATTGGTCTCTCTACTCTGCCTCGAGAAAACTAGTCGACAATCGAGTCTTGGTGCGCAGGTATAAAAGTTGAACGTTGGACCAGTGCGCATATAATCCTGTTTCATTGTAATTTTTAAGTAATGCTTGAATGCCTGAAGATGGACGAGATGAGATGCAACGTGATGTAAGTAAGTACGTGGTAAGAGGAGCAGGAGGTATCAAGTGAGTGAATACGTAACCCAAAAATATTAAATCAGCTGTGGAACGGCGAGCCCAGGGGAAACTCGACATCCTCACGCCACCAGGAGATCTTTGCTTTTTGATGGGCGGCGGGCGTGCCGAGGCTTTGGCGCGGATTATCGCGGGGAGTTTCGAGACCCCGACGCGAAGAGCTTGGCAATGGCGCGTCCAGACTCTGCCGCGAGCGCGGGAGGGGGCGGATGACGCGCAGCCGTTTGGGCGAGATGGGGGCTTCCTCGTCGAGGGAGAGGTCGATGAGGGCGCTGGTGCGCTTCCCCACGACCGACGGGCCCTCGTCGGGCTCGACTTCCCGTCTGCGAGTATACATGAGTAAAGACATTTTGGGGGAAGGAGGGGCCCGCAAGACGCACCTCAGCGCGCGATAATGTCTCTTCAGCTTATCATACTTGCCCTTCATCACCACCATCGCCTCCTGCGCGACCTCGCTCGCGTCCTGCGCCTCCTCCAGCTCCTCCCGCTGGCTCTGCAGGCGCTCCTCCGCGACCTTCGCCTTCAGGAGCGCGCGCGTCTCGCCGTGCGCGTGCGCCTGCGCGGCGGCGATGTGCCGCTCGCACTCGGCCATGAGGCGCTCCTTGTCGGCCTCGAGCGCCTTGACGCGCGCGTCGGACGCGGCGAGCTTCTTGCGGAGAGCGTCGTGGCGCGAGGTGTCGATGTAGACGCGGCGGATGGAGGGGACGATGTATTGGTGGAATTTTTTCGGGAGGCAGGTTAGCTGGGCGTTCGTCAGCGTTGCAAGGGTATCTGGATTGAGAAAGTACCTCTGGTCGGACTAGAATAAGATTTAGTTTGGGTTAGCTTATCCTTAGGCTTAGGGTGGCTTACCCATGTTGAAGGTTTCGCGGCACGAGGGGCAGGTGGATGTGAACCCGTCTGGGCTCGTCGCAGAGACGTGGCCCGTGAGGCAGTCGGTGCAATAGACGTGGCCTAAAAGACGCTTGAGTGGCAACGCGGGAGTGAAACGCGAGCAACACACCACAGGGCACAGAGACGGGCTCCTTGAGCTTGGAGAGACATATCCCACAGCTCATTTTGCGGGGGGCTAGATGGTGGCGGTTGTTAAATGCGACGCGAGCGTGACTGTCCAGCGCGCTGGGTAACAGGGCGTGACCTCCCTCCGTTTGGACCTCTTGGCCAGTGGGGCAGCCTTTTGGTTTCCCTTCTCCGCAGTTCTCTTTCTACCCCCTCGTCGATAGAATTTTACTGCTTTTCCGTCTGTGAATGCCTTCTGGACAGCGATTGACTTCACCTACTTCTGTTTCGACGCCCAAGTCTGCCACCGATCGGCCTTCGTCGCGTAGCTCGATACGCTCTAATTCTACCCGTGCACCCAGCCCGGCCTTCTCTTCCGACGATCCAGGTCCGTTTTCTGCGGCGAACTCTGCGTATGTAACAAGCTAACACCGCCTCGCAGTCGCAGTGCGAAATCAGGTCAGTCGACGACGAACACTGTTGGCAGCAACCCTGAAGCTCCACAGGTGTCCACCCTCAAACACACCATTAGGTGCCCTTTATTCTACGTACTGACAGCCAGTATTCATCCAAAATACCCAGGCACCAGCAAGCCCAGCTCCAGACCCTCGAGAACATGCTCCTTCGCGGCCCACGACCATACCCCCCCGAGATATCCGACATGTCCACCTCCCCGCCCTCACCGTCGCCCGCCCCCATGAGCACAAAGGTCAGCCGCCGCTCGAGCTATGACGTCCTCGCGGGCATTGCCGGCGCCGACTCCAATCTGCCGCTCCCCCGCCGCGACCGCGACAGCAGCCTCAGCATGAGCACGAGTTCGAGTGG